GAAGACAAAACAAATGGCATGACCCCGATTTTAAAGTTAGGAATTAGGTCCATATGCACATAGATGGGACACATGGATGGGTAGACAGGAGGCCTGGACCAGGTGGGTGTTCAGAGTGCGCAGGGGTGGGAGGAACCCCTCAGAGGGCAAGCACCAATATACAGCACACCAAATTATTGTCTGGGCCCAGAGGATAGGTCATAGATAAATGTCAATCTATTTTTCTTTGAGGTGCTGTGTATTCCCTACATTCCCTGCAATGATCATAGGGTATTTCGTATTCAGAAAGTGATATTTAAAACATAATAAACATCACCATGGACCCGAGGGGCGGGCACAGCTCCTGTTTGGACTCTATGCTGCATACCTGCCTCTTCCCAGATCTGTTCACTTTTAGAATGTGCTGCCTTTCACATGTCACCAAGATTGAGCTCCTTCTTACAATTTGTGTTGAATTGACCCCTTGCTCCTGTGAGTGTCCTAGTGGACACTCGGCAGTCTCTCCTACCTGGACAAGGCCCAGGGGTGCCCTGGGAGACGGCATTGGGCTTCCCAGCCTATCTGCAGACCTGAGCAGTGTCCTTGGTGCCTCTTCTCAGAAGTCAGCCTGTGGCATTCATCAGAGTCCTCAAGGGGCCCATGATACAGACAGCACTGAGACCCCAGCCCCAGAGGAAGGTGTGGGCTCTTAGAGGTTGAAGAAAAATGTTCCAGACTTTGGGCGTCCTACATTTCCTCCCCAGCAGCCCATCTAGACTCAGCCATCAGGACTAGCCCTGGCCACTTGCACGTCAGGCCCTGGGTATTGGTCCCCACATGGAGAAGAGGGCAGAGAAAGGTTTCTTGGCATAGAACCAAGTCAGCACAGCAAGATCCAAATATCAGACCCTCCAGATTTCTCATCACTTTGGGCAGAAAGCAGCAACGTCCCTGAGAAGCTAGGGCCCTGCTTGGTCTCTGGCCCTGGAAATGCCTCAAAAACCCACCCAGGAGGCTGACCCAGCCAGGCTGCCTGGAGCACTGCTCTGAGAGGAGTCCCTCCCCTCTGCCCTTGCTCTCGGGAACTGAGCATTTCCTCCTGGGCAGCAGGGAATTGCTAGAAACCGGCCGAGTCACTGAGTTGTTTTGTTTTTCCTTTAGAAAACACTCACCTACTATTTTTAGGGTTATTCAAAACTAAGCTTGAAAAAAAGGGG